CAGCTGTTGCGTGAGATGAACGAAAACATCTAGAATTGACATTATTAGTCATACACTGCAGTTTTGTTTCATAAAAATGTTTTTTTTACTTGATTTTTATTACTGACACTATTACAGACTCCCCCCACCCCCCGGGCCTTTGCCCACCTCCATCCAGCCTGTCCCCCTTTCTCTCTGGCCATTACCACACCGTTGTCTGTGTTTATGGGTTATGCATATATGTTCTTTGGCTAATCCCTTCACCTTTTATCAGAGAATATTCTAAATGGAGAACAACCTAATTTCTGTATAGATGTGTTGGGTGTATATAGATAGTTACAAACTGGACCAGCTTTTCTTACACAAAAATGACCACTCTTTCTAAGACTACTCTTTATTACCTAAAATATTACTGTACGTAATCAATCATTATCTTACAAAGTGTATGAGAAATTTATTTCTCACAGCTCTGGAGGTTGGAAGTCTGAGATTATGGTGCTTCACCACGGTTGGATGGGGGCCCTCTTCTGGTTCACAGATTTTTCATTGTATCCTCATGTGGCAGAAAGGGCCACAAATTATTGATGAACTTAAAAATGGGGAAAGTCCTAGTTAATGGAGTTTAGTTGACAGAATGCCAAGTGTTATAGTTTACTGTGGTATAATTTTAGGATTTGTTTTTGTAAAGTATTTGCAGCATTAACACAGTCTGCAAGATCAGACAGTTTCCTTGAGACTTAATCTTGTTGCCACTTTAATCCATACTCTGTGTACTTCCTTTTCTACTTCTTAGTAGAAATTTCCTTAACATACTCTACAGTGCTTTCTGTTCTGCATGGTTTATGCTAAATTCTACCTGGGATTCAGTTTTTGGATTAAAACTGTTTGCTTTTAAACAAGTAGGATCACGAAAAGCAACTAAGGGTTATTCTGTTTTCATTTAAACAAACACTGTTACTTAATAAATCTTGAAATTTGTTACTATGTTTTATTCCTAACCTACATTCTTTTTTGGTTGGTTACATATGACTATGGCCTTCTTATGTAATCCATTTGCCAAGCCCTTTACAGTGTATCTCATTTGATCTTCATAGCAGCTCTGCATGAGAAGTAATGTTAACTATATAGATGAAGCTGAGGCTCAGAGCAATGTAAATTACTTGCTCAAAAATATAGTTAAGCAAACAATGCAGTAGGAATTTGAACTCGTTACTTCTAGACTTGAGGAAATTGTACTGTATTACACTGTGTTTCTACCAAAGAGAAGTATGAAACCAGAAGGTGCTTTACAGTTAATCTTGTGTGAATAGTAGCAGGAAGGATTTTTATTTCCTACGTAGTTTTTACCTTTTTAGGGGGGAAAAACATCGACATCAACTTCTGTGGGTGAGACTTGTCCATTTGGTTTGGATTTTATTCTTTTTCCCTCCCATAATTTATGCTATGGGCTATTTGACTACAATGCCATGTAGTCAAATAATTATGCACCTCTTTATTATATCAAAGTTCATTCGAACTTGAGAGCATATGAAACTATTTCAAAAAGTCTCCCGTACCTGAAAGCTTATTCTAGAATGTGTTCTGATTAAATCTTACAGTTTGATCAGGCCACGTGAAATGTTTAATATGTACATTTTTTTAAGAAAGACTGATTTTTGAGGGTGAACTGAAGATGAGGAAATGATTGCTGTATCTATCTCAGACAGTGTACTGAGAGTGGTGTTGAAGCTATTTTGGGATATGATCTTGGAGGCCCTTCTGGCAGCTTTTGATAGCTTTGAATAGAGCTGCTACTATTTTGTGTAATCAGGGAGTGGTGTTTCAGTGCTCTTGGACCTCAGCTTTGTCTTTTTTCCAGTCTTCCTCTTCATGGCATTCTAAAAATATGAAGGCCTGGGGCAAAACGAGAGGAGGATGTCGGAGGTGAGAGGTCAGAATTCAAGGAAGTTTAGCACCCACTTCTCTCATGCCTTTACTCCTACTGTTCACCCTTAATATCTTTACTTTTTTTCTAAAATGCATGCCAGCCTCTTTTCTAGTTACATATTGGAGGACTTCCCAAGATAAGAGAGGCTTTATTATTGCCTCTTGAGGTTTTTAATGCTCTAAAAATGTTTTACTTTGAACCTAAAGAGCATTTTGCTGAAAGTAGTTTGTGGCATTTTAGTTTTTCATTTGATCCTGCATTGCCACAATTAAAACAAAACAAAATCTAGTCTTGAGTTAAAGTATTAAATGCATTACTTTAAGTGGTTATAGGTTTAACACATTTTGAGGAAGGAGTTGACTTTGTATCTGCATCTTACAACTTTCAGTATGTGACTGCTGACAATTTTTTTTTAGTATATGAACTGTAGGCTATAGAATGAAATAGTTGTATAATTGTTTTTAAGTGAAAGTGTAAATACAGTATTCTCTCATTCATTGTTTTTCATACCTAAAAGCTTAGGTATAGCAGTGTTCTAAATGCTTATTACTACACTTTGCCTATTCAAAACATTGAAAATCTATTACTAATATACATAATACACATACTATTGTCAATTTGTATATTGAATATTAACACTTTTCTGGATAGAAATAAATTATTAGTATAAGTTAGATTATTTCTTCCCACACCTGAAATGGTCTTTTTGTTTTCTTCCTGTGAAGTGCACATCCTGCTTTGAATAACACTGTTTTAATTGTTAAAGATGAAATTCTGACTTTATTCCTTGTTCTTTGTAATATCAAATAAATTCCTAATTCAACAAGTATTTATTGAACATCTATGGTGCTAGGCACTCTTTCAAATGCTGAGGATGTAGCAGTAAATAAAACAGATGCAAATCTCTCCTTTTATGGCACTTCCATTCTGATCTCAGTGACATATATGTAGTATGTTAGTGCTGTGGAGATAAAGTAGGGGAGCAAGGATAGGGAGAGTGTGGGATAGGGTAGCATGGGGTTTGCAGATTTAATAATGGAGGCTTCTACTGAGAAAACACATTTGAATAAAGATCTTAGTTGCTGAGGAAGTGAGCCATATAGAAATTTGGGGAGAAGAGCAAATGCAAAGCCCCTGAGGGAGGAGTGTGCCTAGCAGGTTGAAGAACTACAAAGAAGCTAACCTGGCTGAAACAAGTGTGGGGTGAGGGTAGGGTGGGGAAAGCATAGCTGAAGATGAGTGAAGGGATCATATGAAGAGGGGGCATTATAAGGACTTTGATTTTAAAAGGTCTTTGGAACACAGACCAGGGAAGGGGAGGGGAGCAAGGTCTGAAGCAGGGAGAACTATTTAGGAGGCTCCTTCAGTATGCTGGGTGAGAACTGATGGGGGCTTGGATCAGATGTGTAGCAGTGGAGTGATAAGAAGCACTCCAGTCATGGGTAGATTTCAGAGTTCAAGATAACAAAATTTGCTGATCAGGTTAGATGTGTGGGGTATGAAGGAAAAGGTGGATCAGTTAGAAGGCTAGATCTATGGTCAACTGACATGAGGAAGGCTTTCGGGGTAGGAGCAAGTTGAGGGTGAACAGTTGTGCTAAGTTTGGGATGCTTTTTAGACACTCCAGAGGAGCTGTCAAGCAGGCAGTTATGGGTAGAAGAGACACAATTGGGAGAGATCTGTGCTGGATATGATTTTGGAGAGACTTCAGCATGTACAGAGTATATTTAGTATAAATTTATTGTGCTCTAGGAGATCACTATGGAAATGTATAGACAGGGAAGAAGCCCTGGGACAGAGCCCTGGTACATGTCTGCATTGGGGTGTTGGGGTGATTAGGAAGGAATCGGTTAGGAGGTTGCCGCCAGACAAATTGGAAGAGAGAGTCCAGAGAGTGTGGCTGTAGGGAAGCTGGATGAAGCCTTGCAAGGAGGAGGGCTGGCCAGCTGGGTGAAGATTAAACATTGGCCATTCAATTTAACCACCATATGGGAATCATTGGTAACTTTAACAAGCAGGTTAGTGGCTAAGCCTGATTGGAGAATTGTATTCAAGATTAGGAGGGGGAGGAGAGATTGGAGACAAGCAGGTATAGATAACTTTCAAAGAGGAGCAAAGCCATGGGGCAGTAGCTGGTGGGGAGTTAGACTAAAGTCAGATTCTCCTCTTATTGGGAGAAATTACAGCAAGTTTGTACAGTTCAGGGTAAGATCCGCTAAAAAGGGGAAAATGTGATTCAGGAAAGGAAATAGATACTGCTAGAGCAGTGTCCTTGAGTAGGTGAGGAGGAGTTAAGATCTAGTGCTCAAGAAGAGAGGTTGGCCTTAGCCCAGAGTGACAGCCATTTCATCCACAGTGGCAGGAGAAAAGGCAGAGCACAGATGGAGGTGTACAAATGCTACAGTGGGAACTTCAGGAAGTTTTGGTTTTCTCATGAAATATTGAAAGCAGAGTCATCAGCCAAAAGTGAAGATGAAGATAGAGATGTCGGAGGTTTGAAGAAAGAGGAGGAAGAATGTTACATTTTTTTAGGAGAGAGGGAGGAAGATGGAAAAGAATTAACATGATAGTTGGGGAGCGGTAAGGGTCCCTTTAAGTTTCATCGTCAATCTTAGAGACTTAATCGGCATGGTTGTATATTATATTTCTGTAGACCTGATTAGGAGGGGAGATTTTCAGTGACTTTAAAACTAATTTTACTTTTTTAAACAGATTGGTTTTGGTAGAGTATTTAACAGGACAAGTTGCCTTAACTATGTGGTAACTCTAGTTTCCTCTTCTCCCCTCCCCTCCTCCTTTCTCTCTTCCTTAGTATAAAACCAGTTTCATTAGCCTAATTTATCACCAACATATTTGTAGACATTGTACCTGGAATGTATGTCACCAGCATTTGCTTGCAGTTGCATTCACCTGGCTGATTATTTAGAAGGCCTTTTCTTTGAGCTTTGTGTTTTATAAGCTACATAAAAACCCCATCAGAGGATTGGAAAGGTTCAGTTGTGTTCAATTTTAAGAGATGAACTTTCTAATTTTTACTTAGAGATTTAGCAAAATAACTTTTGTTTCACAAATGTGTTATGTTTTACTGTTGTAGGAAACCCAGCGTTTGCTGGCAGAACCAGTTCCCGGCATTAAAGCAGAACCAGATGAGAGCAACGCCCGTTATTTTCATGTGGTCATTGCTGGCCCCCAGGATTCCCCCTTTGAGGGAGGGACTTTTAAACTTGAACTATTCCTTCCAGAAGAATACCCGATGGCAGCACCTAAAGTACGTTTCATGACCAAAATTTATCATCCTAATGTAGACAAGTTGGGAAGAATATGTTTAGATATTTTGAAAGGTAAGTGTTACCTTTATTGTTATACACTGTTAAGATTCCTTCAATTTCCTCTTATGTATTCCATATTGAGAATCTGTACGTTATAATCCTGCCTTATCTCTAAATACCACAGAGGTCTGTGGGAGGGCAGTGTAGCAGTTCTAGGGCTGGTTTTTCATGTTTGATCATTCTGGGCCTATTGCCTTCATAGATAAGTGGTCCCCAGCACTGCAGATTCGCACAGTTCTGCTATCGATCCAGGCTTTGTTAAGTGCTCCCAATCCAGATGATCCATTAGCAAATGATGTAGCGGAGCAATGGAAGACCAATGAAGCCCAAGCCATAGAAACAGGTATTTAATATTCATTCTCTTTTACCCCACCTCCACTTTTTAAAACGTTATCTGTGCTACCTTTAAAAAAAATCTTCTTTTAGAGTCTTAACAAGAAAAAGAACAAATATATATTAAAAGAAATAAATAGATCCTGTTTATAATATGTAAATAAATGCCTCTTAAAAGATCTTCATGCTCCCATCTTATGACCTACTACGTGATCCCGAAGTTTAAAGACAACATATAATTGGGAGAGCTTGGACTCTTGTATAACCACACCTAATGTAACAAATACTGAGTGTCTACCATCCGTCTAGCAAATAGGTAAAGGTAATGGAAAACTTTTGAACTCTTAAATTGTTTTTGCAATCCATTTGATAAAGTTACATCAGTTTATATAGGTAGGGAGTTTGAAATCAATAAGCTTTTTCTACAGATTATTACAGATGTAGTGGGGGGCACTATATATCTAGAAAGGAAGATGACGAAAGGAGACAACTCTTTTCATCCTGTTAACGTTTGTAGAACTTTTGATAATTAGACATATAGACAATCTTTCTGCCCTGATCCAGATTATGGAAAATGGCATGAATTTAAGAGATAACAGCATGACATTTCCATAATTAACGTCATAGTTTTTGCTGACTTTTTATAGAGCTTGGAAAGTAACATTGAACTAAGTAAAATAATTGCATGTTTGTTTTTGTCTACAGCTAGAGCATGGACTAGGCTATATGCCATGAATAATATTTAAATCGATCTGATCATCAAGTGTGCATCACTTCTCCTGTTCTGCCAAGACTTCTTCCTTTTTTGTTTGCATTTAATGGACACAGTCTTAGAAACATTACAGAATAAAAGCCCAGACATCTTCAGTTCTTTGGTGATTAAATGCACATTAGCAAATCTATGTCTTGTCCTGATTCACTGTTATAAAGCATGAGCAGAGGCTAGAAGTACCATCTGGATTGTTGTGAAACGTTTAAAAGCAGCGACTCCTTTCTGCTTTTATTCATTTCCACCATCATGGTTTAAGTATAAAGCACTGTGAATGAAGGTAGTTGTCAGGGTTAGCTGCAGGGGTGTGGGTATTTTTCTTTATTTTATTTTATTTTTTTGAGGGGGGAGGTAGTTTAACTTTAATTTTATGGGCTCCTTTTCCCCCTTTATGGTGGTCTAATTGCATTGGTCAAAAGCAGCTAACCAGTTCTTTAGAATGTGCTCTCTAGCCAAGTCTAACTTTATTTAGACGCTGTAGCTGGACAAGCTTGATTGTTTGAACCAAAATGGGAACATTAAACAAACACCATGGCCCTCACTAATAACATCGTGACTTCGCTGTCAAATGTAGAATCCTCCCTTCAAGAAAGAGCTTGTGACCGTTTTGTATGGCTAGTCTGGAAATTTCTGTAAATCTTATGTTTTAGTAAAATATTTTTTGTTATTCTACTTTGCCTTTGTACAGTTCATTTTACTGTGTTTAGTTCATTTTCCCAATGTGACAATCGTATTTAAAAATTAAAACGGATGAAACATTCTGTTTTGATCTTCACCATCTGACAAGTTGAATGGCAAGAGGTGGATTATGCCAGTTTCTTTCACTGATGCAAATTTGTGTTACTGTATCACTGAAAGGAGTATTTTAAACTTGGCCCTGAGCATGCGTGAAGCATCCACGTCAAACATTTTTCCACCTCCTCAAAATTCGAAATAAATGTGTTTCTGTTGTCTCATTAGCTGGATGAACATTGGTGTCTTGCCACAATGTTTAAAAAGTGTGACTGACTTTGTGTGTAGAACTTTCACATGTGCCACATTTGTGACAGGCATTTGGGTTATGACCCTTTTCTTAGTTTTTGTCTGAAAAGTTCATGTGACCACTGATGGGTGTTATTAGGAAACACCAGTCTGATAACCATTTGGCGTTTGCTGAGGCATTTGAGTCTTACAGACTCAAGCAAATCTCAAGCTACCAGCTTGCATAAGTGTCATCAGAAAGATTTCATTTGAGAGCATCATATCCTCAATTACTGATTATTTTCATCCCTCAAATATTTGCTATGGGAGCTCCTTTTATTCTCTAATTTGATATTCAGTATTTCTGCATTGACAGAGTGTGT